CGGCTCCTCGCCTCCCTCCGCTCTGCGCTCCTCGGCGTGCCGAGCGGCGGGCGTTCGCCCGCGGGCGCGCGCTGCCGCCCCTCCTGCGCAGAGAAGGGATCGGGGAGGGCTTGTCGAGGCCTCCTACAGTCAACGCGCCCAGTAAGGACGCGCGCCTTCATCTAGGGTACCCTTGTGTCCTTGCCTCTGCGGCCCGTCCTTTGCCGTTTTCACTGGTCGCCGCCGCCCCAAAAAATCCCAAATTCAGCCTCCAAGGGTCTTGCGTCCTTACCACGCGTCCTTAACTATACATTTTGACTGTAGGTGGGGTCGGAGCCGATGGGGCCGGAGGATCACACCGCATCGCCGATGCATCGCCGATGCGGCCCGATGTGCAGCCCGATCTGCTTCACGTCGACGTCGCCGGTGCATCGCCGATGCATCGCCGATGTATCGGTGATGCGGCGCGATCCTTCGACCCCATCTACTCTGGCCCCATCTAGGAGGTCTCTAGCTTGTGGGGGTTGCCGTGGAGCGGGCGAGTCGATCCGGGCTTGCCCCAGACAGGATGCGGATGCCCGCTTTCGACGATGATGATGGTGATGATGATGCTGCTGATGGTGGTGATGCTGATGGTGGTGATGCTGATGGTGATGATGCTGGTGATGATGATGATGATGATGATGATCATCATGATGATGATGGTGATGATGATGGTGATAATGATGAGGATGTTGAGGATGATGATGGTGGTGATGGTGGTGATGGTGATGGTCATGATGTTGCTGCTGTTGCTGATGGCGATGTGCGTGGTGATGCTGTGATGATGATATTGTGATGATGATGCTGCTGATGATGATGTGATGGTGATGGTGGTCATGAAGATGATGATGGTGATGACGATGCTGATGATGATGATGATGATGAGGAGGAGTATGTCGATGAAGATGACGACGAAGATGACGATGACGATGATAATAATGGTCAGGCCCATACTGATGATGATGGTCATGATCATGATGATTATGACGCTGATGACGATGGTGGTGGTGGTGATGATGATGGTGGTGATGTTGATGGTGATGGTGGTTGTGATGATGATGACGATGATGATGGTGAGGATAATGACGAGGATGGTGATGATGAGGATGATGATGAGGATGATGATGATATTGATGACGAGGATTATGATGGTGCTGCTGCTGATGATGGTGATGATGATAATGGTGATGATGATGAAATGAAATGAAATAAAATGAAGATGATGCTGATGATGATGATGATGACGATGATGGTGATCATTATCATGAAAATGACGATGGCAATGACGATGGTGATGCTGATGATGAAGATGCGGATGATAACGATGATGATGATGATGTTGAGGATGCTGATGCTGATGATGCTGATGGTGCTGATGATGCTGATGATGACTGTGGTGGTGATTGTGATGGTGATGGTGATGGTGTGGTGATGATGGTGATGATGCTGTGACGGTTATATTGTGATGATGATGATGATGATGGTTATGTTGATGATGATCATGATCATGATCATGGTGATGATGATGATGATGATGATGATGATGATGATGATGATGATGATGATGATGATGATGATGATGATGAGGATGAGGATGAGGATGAGGATGAGGATGAGGATGAGGAGGATGAGGATGAGGATGAGGATGAGGATGATGGTGATGGTGATGGTGACGGTGATGGTGACGGTGATGGTGATGATGATGTGCTAATCGTGCGCTCGGCTGCACGAGCCGGAGACAGTAGCCTCGGATGCTCGTCGTCTCGACCTTCGAGCGGCGTGCGGCGCGGCAGCCTGTCCCGCGGCGCCCGACAGAGGGAGGACCCAAACACGACAAGGCAGAGACGCATTCACGACAACAGTCAAACGCCGAAAGTGGGAGGCGGTCCCTTTTCGCCTCCCGCTTTCGCCTTCCGCTTTTGCGTCCCGCTTTCGCATCCCGCTGTCGCCTCCCGCTTTTGCCCTTCACTTTCCACTCCGCCGAAAGTGGGAGGCGGTCCGCGTTCGCCTCCCGCTTTCTTCTTCCGCTGTCGCCTCCCGCTTTTGCCCTCCAGCTTCCGCCTCCCGCTTTCGTCCCCCGTTTTCGCCTCCCGCTTTCGCCTCCCGCTTTCGCCTCGCCTCCCGCTTTCGCCTCCCGCTTTCGCCTCCCGCTTTCGCCTCCCGCTTTCGCCTCCCGCTTTCGCCTCCCGCTTTCGCCTCCCGCTTTCGCCTCCCGCTTTCGCTTCCGGCTTTCGCCTCCCGCTTTCGCCTCCCGCTTTCGCCTCTGGCTTTCGCCTCCCGCTTTCGCCTTCCGCTTTCGCCTCCCGCTTTCGCCTCCCGTTTTCGCCGCCCGCTTTCGCCTCCCGCTTTCGCTTCCCGCTTTCGCCTCTGGCTTTCGCCTCCCGCTTTCGCCTCCGGCTTTCACCTCTCCCGCTTTCGCCTCCCGTTTTCGCCTCCCGCTTTCCCGCTTTCGCCTCCCGCTTTCGCCTCCCGCTTTCGC